CAGCTGTCATAGAGCCTGGGATTAAACAGATTCATCTTTCTTAGAAGCGAGGGGAGGTGTGGGTGAGTGAATGGAAGGCTTCCCTCTCTCGTTGCCGCTGCACTTCTCCCACTCTCCTTATCTAAGTTGTGAGGATTGGCTTGTGCCGAGGGCTGAGAGCTGGCCCGAGATGTCAGAAGGCCGCAGTCATGGTTAGCAGCCCCGGCGTGTGCGGCCTGCCAGCTGCACAGCGACGGGAGATTAAGAGAGATGGGGATTCAACTCCGACAGGCCTGACACAGTTTATTTGGAAGTTTCTGGGAGAGAACATGAGTAATATAGACAAAAAAACTGACAGTAAGGGGACAAATGTGAATTTCTGTCAGAAACAAAACAGAATTTTAAAAGAAGCAGCTCTGTTTGTTGTCTCTAGTCAAGCTTTCCAGTTAAACTGTGTTTCTAAATTGAAAGTCTTACCACTGTTTTCTGCAGTTGGCTAGGAAGGTACAATTAGAAGAATTTCCCTCTTCAGAAAATTAATGTGTTTTAAATAAAATCACTGTTTCTCTGTCTACAAATTAAGCACTAGTTACCTTCAAACCTAGGAAGCTGATAGGTAAAATGCTTTTTCTAAGATTTTTCTTTCTAGTTTAATCACATTATAATTCTTGATCAGACATCCCTTTGACTAGAAGACTTGATGTGATATTTTTCTCATTCTATTAAATTTAGGCAGAGGGAGAAGGGGTCTGGTGAGTACCAAGAGCTATGAATCTGGCATGGGAGTGTGGCAGCTCTTGTGTGGTTACATACAGACTAGGCTGTGTTCTCAAAAAAAGCATACTGGGAAAAAGTGCTTTGTTGGCCCTTTATGAAGGACCTTAATTAGAAATCACTCAACTCCTGGGGTGGGAACAGTTTCTAGCCTGTCGCTGCGGCTCCTCCTGCTGCTAATGAGCATGCTCCTTGCAAGGACTCCTTTCTCCTGACAGTTAAAGCTGCCTGTAAGAGTTATTTCTGTTCACGTTTCTCTCTATGTTTAACCCTTACTGCCCAAGTTCATATTATGCAAGTAGACTGTTAGGGGTTTTCTGTCATTATGAGGAAGTTAAAAGTGCTGCAGGGTAACAGAAATGATGTTTGTGAGTAAAAAGTAAAGAATCAAAGTTTAATTCATTCCAGTGTGGACCATAGGCGCAGATTCCTTTAGTGTGGCCATATTTGGATCTTTTCTTTCTGGTAGTCTTTTTTTAATGGACATAAAATTTATAATTGAATGGTTGAATTATTTAGTTCATTATTATGTAATTAGAATCCCTGCCCTGGACATCTGTTTCTCTTATTTAGGCAGCTCACCCCATGGCACAAAGCTTCATTAAATAATTAGCAGAGGAGATGTAAATTCCTTGTGCAGACATGATGATGATCCTGTAGACCACTATTTATTTCATTAGCTCCTAATTGAAACAGTAAGTTGGCTTGTGAGAAAATGCCAAAGAATGGCTTGCTTCACCAAGAAGTGATATATTACACAGTCATCTTCCCTGGATGGCAGCGTGTGGAGGATGGTAAACAGTTTAGGGAGCTTATTTCCTCTCCCTCTCTGTGGTAGGGGGAATTAGAGGGCCTAGGATTCCTTTCCACTTAATAGACGCTGGACTGAGTGAAGAAGGCTGAGTGGACATATTCCAGAGCATGAAAGTGATGGATCTCTTAATGCCTAGGGACAGCTCCTTGATTCTAAAAAATAACACATTCTGGTAACAATGTGTACATCTTGGTTTAGGATCATTGAGGGACTGCTTCTCATGGCTCAGACTTTCTATACACCAATGCCTTTGGTGCTAGACTTGTGCAGATGCTGAGACATTGACTCTTAGAGAGCTGATTAGGGCTGAGTGGTGGTCTTTTAGGATGACCAGTGAATGCAGCCAAAAGCTGTTGGCAGCATCAGAAACCTCCTGTAGGACCCATTGTTTCAGGAATGCCCCATGCCTCCTGCCTACCAGAACAAAAGTCACTAGTCTTTATAATGTTGAGTGGATAAAGGAAAGTTTTAGCATGAGACCAAGCAGACTTATCCCTTAGCGTTGTTATTGAATGCTCATTGGTCAGACAAGGTGGGGAATTAAGAGGAAAGAGATGAGGCCTGGACATGCCTCCTGATGTTGGAGGGTCTAGCAAGTGGGTTGTTTGGTGATGACCAATGATGATTATGATTATGTCAATATGAATTCTGTCTCCCAGTCTTAGGAATCATACATTTAAAAATATTTCCTTCATATATCACTCCCTGACTTATTTAAAAAATAGTTATTAGCTATGGATAGTATTGCCACACTGAAAGAAAATTGTCTTCTCCTTGTAGCAAAGGTTTGCTTTAGAAATGGAGATAGTGCTTTGCAGGTAGACAGCACATTTGACAGTTTGGGACAGATTCGTGTGAAAAGCAGCTTTGTGAGCTCTGCATTTCTAGACACATACTCAGTTTTATCAGATAACAGTGTGAATGACAGGCTTGTGGTGAGTATGCCTTTTTTACGTTAGAGGTATGCTGGCATCATGTCAAGGCCGCCTAGATTTTAACAATATTAATAAATGCTAAGGATTCAACTGCCTCCCCTTCTTATGTGGACTCTTCTCTTTCTTCCCACCCTGCCCCAGGGGTTGATGGATTCTTTCTTATAAGGGTGCTCCAGATTTAGGACCTTGTCTCAGAACAAACACCATTTTTTTTGTTATGGCTTTTACTCTAGAATTTTCTCTTCTTATTACAAAAAAGGGGAGGTATAAATAGGGTTATTAATACAAATAGCTCCATTGCTGGTTTGTGAAAAAGGACCCCCAGAGAACAGTGTGGCTCATACAAGGTGAATTCCTTTTGACTGGCTGCTTTGTAACGATTTACATTTAGATTGTTGCTTGTTGCTCTTGTAAGGGAAGGGAAGGGGGACTGGTGTGTCTGTAGCTGCCTCAGTCATCTTACCGACTAGGTTTGGACAGCTTCTCTCAGCAGAGCTGGGAAATAGGCTGAACTTGCTTTCAATTGTTTTCATCAAAGGCCTTGTTTAGTTGGTTTGTATTTGGGGAAAATGTCATGTAGGACAGGAAGAACTGAATGAGATGAAAAATGAAGTTTACAGTTGCTAAGAATAGTGTGTGCCTTCCATAAGTCAATGCACAGTGCCATGGGCTGGGGGGCTGTGAGAAAACTGTCACCATTGTCACTGTCGGGACCAGTGACTGCTCTCTGGTGAAGTGCAGCATCTTCACACGGAGGGAGGCGGGGGAAAGGGATGCAGACAGCCTTCATTGGAATGAAGGCTGCTGCTCACTAGAGCCACTTTAAATAGAAAATCAGGACTACCTAGGAGAAGATTCGAGAAATATGTAGTGAGCAAAGCAGGTGAAATTCCTGCCCTCCAGGAGTTTACCTTCTCATGGGGGATAATGTTAAAACATGAGTGCTACGGAGGAATAAAAGGCAAGTAAAGGGAGGAAGGAGAATGCTAGGGAGGGGGGGACAAGAGTGGTCTAGACAGGTGATCGGGGAAGAAGACTTCGTTGAAAAGTGTGATCACTTTATAAGTTATATAAATGTCTAAGCACCTGAAACTAATATAACATTGTATGTCAACTGTAATTTAAAAATAAGTTAAAAAAAGAAAATGTGACTTAAAAGAGTTTAGATCCCATATAGATCTGGGTGAAGAGTATTCCAGACAAAGGGAACAGAAGGTGCAAAGGCTCTGAGGTAGGAGACAGTAAGGATACCAGTGTGGATGGAGCAGGGGGAGAGAGCAGCAGGAAATGAGGTGAGAGAGATGAGAGGGGAGGGCGCATCATGCAGGGACGTTTGAGCATCATAGTTAAGTATCTGAACTTTTACTCTGAGAAGGGGAGCTATTAGAGGGTTTCAGGCAGGCAAGTGAAGTCATTCTAACTTGATTTTGAACAGGATCATTTGGCTGCTGTGTAGAGAACATACTGTTGGGGTAGAGGGGGGTGAGCAGGGAGACCTGTTAAGAGGCTCTTGTACTAGGCTGAGTGAGATGGTGATGATTTGGACCAGTGGTGGTGGAGGGGTGAGAAGTGGTAGGATCTGGATCTGTTTTGGAGAAGATCATCTAGGAGATTCCCTTCTAGAGGTGGTTTAACACAAACCACTTTCAAACCTTGGCAAGAGGTGCATCCTTAGTATGCAGTGGGGGCAGTTCCAGGAGCACAGAGCCCTCAGGTGCTGCCCTTTTTTGGAAGGCAAGAGTTATTTACAGTCTGCTTATAACATGAACTTTATTGCATTTTTGTTACTTAAATTGTCACATGCTGCACCTCCCTTCACCTGCCAATTTGGCACCAACCCTAGGGTGTGGTATCAAGTGTCGCCTCTGTGGCACTCAACAGTGGAGGCTCTGGGGCAGCTCGTTAGTAAACAAGCAGGGATACACTCCTTAACTCTGAATACAGTTGGAATAATTTCTAACATTAGAGCCTGATTCTTGTCTGTTTAGGAATAGAAACATGAGTATTTTTGCTAGAAAAGATTATAGATCACCCATCAGGCACTGGCTTTAGGTATGCGGTTGTGCTAAACATGGCAAAATAAAGAAGAATTACATTCTACTTGAGGACAAGCAAATATCCAAGAAAAGGTAAATAACCAATACAAGTAGTAGACCGCTAGAGTCCAAAGAAAGGGTGCAAAGAGAGGATCCCATTTCCAGTTTGAATGGTCTTACAGAGACAGCCATTTTTAAAAACAACATAGATTTTTGTAGAGCCACTGCCACCCTCCTCTCCTGGTTGAGACCTAGGTTGTTAGAAGTCACCCCTGAAGGTTCATGCTAGTCACACTCTGTGGAGTATAAACCAGGCCAGTTGGAGCTGGCTGTTGCTCACACAGGTCCTATTCCTAGAAAAGGGCAATAGCTTGGTCAGAAGATTGCCTGGCAGTACATTAATCAGCTGAGCTTGCCAGGCCAAGCACTAAACCTCACTCCCCATTGTGTTGTTTTGGTTAGATTCACAGTCTGAGAACGAGGCTTCGCCAGTGAAACGGCCACGACTCCTGGAGAATACTGAACGGTCTGAGGAAAGCGGCCGATCTAAACAGAAGAGCCGACGCCGGTGCTTCCAGTGCCAAACCAAACTGGAGCTGGTACAGCAAGAACTGGGCTCGTGCCGCTGTGGTAAGCATCTCTCCCGGTGACATGATGGAGGTGGTGTCCTTGACACCCTGGCATAGCTTTAGAAATTATTCTAAGAGGCTGAACTTCTCCTGGGAACCTCTCTGAGAGCAATAGGTTTAGAGTTTGAGAAATCAAGAGTAGAGGATTTTTACGTCTAAGCACATGCAAAAAAGCAAAACACCCGCCACTACTTTGTCACACATATCTTTAGAGTTGCATTGTCACTGCTTACTGCTTTCACATCTCCCTACTGATTACTCTGGTTCCTTCTCATTGATGACTTATTTAGAAATTAACCAAACCAGCAAAATTCTGGGATATGTACCATAAAATTCAGATATTAAATTAATTTTGAATGAGCCTCTTCCTATGTATAATAAATGGAAGATTTCTCTTCCCATATCCTTTTTAAATTAAAGTTTGATTAGAAAATTATTTTCTTTGAACCATAATTCATCATTAGTTAACTCCTTGAAAACAGCTTTAAAGTAACCTCTTCTGTATTATCTATCTACTATAATACCAACTCTTAGAATTGCTGCACAGGTATGTATTTTAATAAACTTTATGTGTACCCACAGTAAAACAAAACTTAGACCAATCCTTCCTCCCCCTTCAACCACACAGAATTGTATAGATGCATCATTTCGGCCAACTTAGAGTTTTCCACTCCCTGTTCTTATTTTCTGATTTAAAGCATAATATTACAAAACTGTTCCGTGGGACAGAGCTGTCACTAGGCAGACTTTGAGACCTAGGTCTAGCCTCTGAGAATCCTATATCCTTTGTCCTTAGGAGTGAGCTTAAGAAGCTTTCTTTCACCTCCGGTATAGCCATAGATAGCCTACAAGTCCTGATACTGGCAGTCAGGACTAGATGGTTCTCTCAGCAGTTAGAAAGTTACAGTTACTCCAACTCCTGTGTCTTCTGAAGACATGGCCACTGCTGCTCTTGTCCCTCAATCATTTTTCCTATTGGAAATGAGAAAGAAATGAGAGAGTACCAGCTTCTCATGGAAGCTAAGTTGGAAACCCTGTTTCTGTCATGCCCAGAGATCTGTTGCACACTCACATGCATGGTATGCAAGATCAGAAGCATATATTTAGCTACAGAAATGGGGACATTCAGTGGCAGTCTGGGGAGTCTAAGTGTCACTGGACAAGTTTTTATTTTTTAGCTTGGCATTTAGTTTATTCCTAAATGCTTGTGTGAAAGTATAAAGAAGAGAGGTAGGGTCAGGGTGAGGGCAGAAGCTGTCAGCAGGGCTTTTACACTTCAGTTGTGTTCATGCATGTGTCATGGCCCAGGTGAGCCCAGAATCTTACAGGCTACTCCTGGATCAACCCTGCCAGGTAATTTTAAGTTCTTGGTGAGGTAAGGAGGGAATACCGTGGTTAGCTAAGGAAACCCTGGGGTCTGATGGCTAACCACCTCTGCCCATATTAAAGAGTTTAATCTTTTGTTGTGTACATTTTGCTTTGGTCTTCACGTGAACCATTGAGGGGTTTCAGCAGTTCATTCTATTCCCAGTGTTATAAAGCCTACCTGAGCATTTTGCCTGTTGCTTGTATAACACAGGCCTTTGGTTGTTCCTAAATTGGAATCATGGGATTTTCCTGTACATTATATTCTTTTTTCCTTCTTAAAAGTAACTGAATCCTGAGTATTACACAGGATTTGCCTTAGTGGATCAAACTAAGATCACAAGGCAGACAGTAAGAGTTCCTAGTTTAGTGCTGAGAGATCCAGAGGCGTTATAACCAAGTCTCCCGTTTTGGATGGAAACTGCCTATTTTCCTAAGGCAGTTAGATGAAAGGTCTTCGGCACTGCTGGAAAAAAAAATCTAGAAATACATGTTGGATAACTTCACATGTTTCTAAGTGGAGCCAACTTGATTATCTGGTAAGAGTGTATTATTCTACTGTGCTCTTTACCTCTTGGGTAGGAGGCTGGATTTCTAAGTGCCTATTGGGCTTGCAACAGACGTGCATTCTTTTAAGTTATCTAGATGTAGTCCCTTGGCTTATGCCCAATTCTGGGGGTCTACTTATAGAGAGATCTGCTTTTTCTGATGGAGAAGAAACTTTTTGAGTTTTCTGCAATCCCTCCAGATGTAGCCTTCCCAGAGAGAGCCAGGAATTCCATTTGGTGCACTGAGAGCATTACATTTCTGTGCCCAGAAAAATGACTGAGTCAACTGCCACATTTCAAAAGATGAAGGACAGCAGTGGGAACATACACCTCTGGGACTGTCTTTGACAAATAGCTCTTGTGTTCCTCCTGCCTGTTTGCTTGGATCTCTCTAGGAAAGGGTGAGTTGTATAGTTATTTCCTTGAGGATGCATGGAGTGTTAGAGAGACATTTAAGTGCCCTGAAAGGTTTTAGTGGGGCGGTGGGGAACAGTAATTTACTACTGGAAGTGAAGACTCAGGAAGGTAGTTTGAACTCAAACAGCACACTTCTCCACTGCAGAAAAATCTTTTTTTATATATATATTCACAATCTTCTTTTCCATTCCCCTTCCACTCTGTACAGGTTATTAACTGCTGACAAGAAATACACATCTCATAAATAATGCTTAAGAGCCATTGCTATATAAATTGAATGTGTTATGAATTGTGATGGGCCTTTTTGTAACATTCTATGCCTAGAGCAGGAAGAACAGAGGATGTCATTTTCATTAATTTCTAATGAGGTGCCAATTAAAGACAGGGAAGACGCTCCAAAGGGAAGAGTGGCCAGGTTCCCCTGAATCCTCTGCCCTGGGGCTGTCATCCAAACACTGCCAGCAAGCCTTCTCTAAAAATTCCATTAAATTACATTCTCAAGGAGCGCGCGCACGCGCACACACACACACACACACACATACATTCAGTTTCCCTTTGATCTTCAAAAGAGCAATTTGTAAGATGAGTTCTGAGCCTTCTCACATAGGGAACGGCTAGAGGTGATAAGAATTGTTAATTGCCAAGGCACTCCGTGGGCTTTTGATAAATAGGTGAATTTTGAAGATGAATTCTCCCCTGCCTCACTGTGATAGGTAACCTTTAAGTCAACAGTACCAAAGTAACACCCTTTTTCCTGTGAAGTCTTTCAGGATGCCAGTTAGAAAAGCCATGTGGTGAGACTGGAATGATACCCTCCATCCTAGAGTATTTCCAACAGTGTAACTTCTCAAGATAGAAAAGTTGCATAAAAATGGATTTATTTGTTTCATTTTCTACTCAGTGGGTAAATTGATCTGCTCATTCTCTTTATAGGAATCTTGTCTCTCCAAATGCCACCTAGAGGGTGTTCTGAAATCTGGCCATCCTCATCAAATCTAGGCCACATCACCACCACATGAATACTGTGTTTCTAAGCAGATCTTGCTTGATACACACAGCATGGCTTTTCAATCACTTTACATTGCTTCCCAGAACCACAGAATTAATTTTTAAATACCAGTCTGATCACTTACATAAGTTATTGCATATTTTCAATGGACAGTGACTTAACAAACTGTAAGCTGATATGCTTCCTTTTGGGACAACAGTGCTTTTACTAACCTAAGTAATCGGACTTCCTTTATTGCTTTTAAAATAAATTTTTTGTTCACTTTAGAAACTCAGTGATGCTTTAGCTGGAACCTTTAGAGTAATCATCTCCAAGTGCCTCAGTGTTCATTTCTGCTTTATCATTCACTGTCAAACTAAATTCAGCAAGCATTAATTGAGATATGACAATACACAAAGCATTTTGCTAGGTTTTGTGGGAATATAGGAGCTAGATACACAGAATGTAGGAGCTCATAGTCTAGGTCTGTGGCTTCAAACTTGAGTGGGCATCAGAGTCACATGGAGGGTGTGGTAAAACACAGTTGCTGTGCCCCACCCTCAGAAGTTCTGATTCAGTAGGCCTGTGCATGTTTAACAAGTCTCCAGGTAAGGGCCATGTTTTAACTGCTGTGCTAGGGAGTTCGAAATCCTGGGAATCTTTTTAAAAATAGCATGTCTGGGCTTTATTCTAAACAATTAAATCAGAAAAGGTCTCCAAGTATTGTTTTTAACTTTTTTTTGCGGGGGGGGGTTCAGTTTCTCCCTTTAGTTCTGTCAGTAGTTGCTTTATATATTTTGGTGCTCCCCAATTGTATGCATATATATTGAGAAGTATTACGTCTTCTCAATGTAGTGCTGTACCCTTTATTGTTATAAAATATCCGTCTTTGTCTCTTATTATCTTTGTTATCTTGAAATAGATTTTGTCAGTTATAAGTATGGCTGTGCTGCTTTTCTGTGAATGCCCTTTGCTTGGAGAATCATTTTCTACCCTTTCACTTTGAGCCTGTCTTTATCTTTGCAGCTTAGATGTGTCTCTTGAAGGCAGCATATGGTTGGGTTTTGAGTTTTGGGTTGGTTGGTTTTTTGGTTTGTTTATTTTAATCCTCACCTGAAGATATGTTTTGATTGATTTTCAGAGAGAGAGGAAGGGGAAGAGAGGGAGAGAGAGAGGGAGAGAGAAATATCGATGTGAGAGAGAAACATTGGTTACCTCCAGCACACTCACTGACCAAAGATTGAACCTGTAACCTAGGCGCATGCCCTGACCAGGAATTGAACCCTCAGACTTTTGGTGCATGGGATGACACTCCAACCAACTGAGTAACTTGGCCAGGGCTGGTTGGATTTTGTTTTTTGATCCAATCTGCTACTTAGTGCCTTTTTACTGATGAATTCAGTCCATTTACATTTTAGGGTAAATATTGATGTATGAGAAATTCCTATAGCCATTTTCATCTTCTTTTTGCTGGTAGCTCTGTGCCTCTGTTGGTTCTTTTCCTTTGTGTTTCCGTTGTTTTTGTTTGGTAATATTCCATACTTTTCCCTCTGTTTCCTCTTTTTTAAAATTATATGTCTTGGTTTTGGGTTTTTTGGTGTATAGTTACCATTAACTTTTTATTTGGAAATTAAAAGGTTTTTCCTGGACCATTTGAGAGTAAGTTTTGCCCTTTATTCCTAT